TTTTGAAGTGACCAAAACATTCATTTCTATAATTGTTCATCAAAGTTGTCCCATGCTTTCTCAATTAACATGAACAGCATTTATCTGCTGGTCAGTTGGGTTAAAAGGTTGTTAAAGGGTTTTATTTTTTGTAAAAACATTCAAGTTTGCTGATTTTTGATTCCTATTGACTCTTTATGTGAAAACATAATTTTCTCGCTCTCATGCCCTACATCTGTTATTGACTGTCTGAAATCCATCTGTACTGATTCAATCAATATTTTTCCAATCCATATGTGCTGTGGTTTTTCAGATTCTGTAACAAATTACATTCACAACACAGTTGGAATTCAGACACTTAATAAACCAAGCTTATTTCTGACACAAACGTTGCTTATTTACAAGTTTGAGCTTCATGAATTAAGCCTGTTTATTTGTACTGAATTATCCTTGAGATAGGTTGTTGTTTAGGTGAAATAACAGTAAAGTGGAAAGTGTTTTGTTGTGTTTTGTTAACAATATATGATAAATATTATAATTACTAACTTAGAAGTAAAGTGGTTGTGGTGGATCCCGACTAGCGGCATGCCACAGGGCTCTTTCCTCGACCCACATTGTTTTTCCAATGTTCAGAGGCTACATCCCACAGCCTGAACTCTCCCTCATTGGTGTGTGACTAACCTGTTAGTGTGTGTGTGTGTGTGTGTTCGATGCTGTCAGTTGGTCCTGGTGTTAGGTGACCTGCACATCCCCCATCGGTGCAACACCCTGCCAGCCAAGTTCAAGAAGCTGTTGGTCCCGGGGAAGATCCAGCACATCCTCTGCACGGGAAACCTCTGCACCAAGGAGAGCTATGACTACCTGAAGACCCTCGCTGGAGACGTCCACATAGTCCGAGGAGACTTTGATGAGGTCGGTTTGAAGACAAGAATAAAAAGACACACAGCCATTATCATAACACTCAAAATGTTGAATAAGGTTAAGGGATTGATTAATTCAACTAAATTACTTAGTCTGGGGGAATTGGTGCATGATTGAGTTTCCCGTTTTTTTTTACCCATATGGCCTGTGTATAATTAATGAACCATATTATGCAAATGTTTTATGCTTTAATGTTCAAAAAGCTCTTTATCTTTCTCATACTGCCTGTCCTGCAGCACTTCTTTTCACCCTCTGTCTGAAACCAGAGCCCAGTCTGCTCTGATTGGTTAGCTGGCCGGCTCTGTTGTGATTGGACAACCACTTAGAAATATCCCGCCCCTTAGCCTATTACGTACAATGTGTTGGAGCGCTAGCCAATAGGAGCATGAGTGTATGTTACAGAAGTAAACAAAGGAGTCAAATAGAGGCGTTTCAGACAGGGGGGGGGGAACTTTAGGATTTTAACCTTTGCAGACTACTTACATTCACAAAAAGATATATAACACACTACAGGAAAGGGAAAACTCCAAAAAGTATAATAGGGCTCTTTTAACAATGTTACGGGGGTTTGACAGTGTTCTTCAAAGTCCATCATAATTATTATTTTACATATATTCCAATAGAGGTTTTGAACTGAGGGTACATTTGAGGGAAAAAGCCTTAATTTATGCAGCTAAATATTTACAAGCAAGAAGGAAATGAAACGGATCTCCTGCCGGTACTGAAGACTAATAGCCGTGTAATGAAATTGTAACAGCTCCCTTCTCGCAAATTAGGTTTTAGTTCACAATTTTTAGAAACACATTGAAAAAAAGACATCATTTGAATACAGTAATAACTGCAGATTTGACTGTTAAACCATAAAGTATATAATTAAAAGAAGCACTTTTTAAATTATAAGTACTGTGATTACTTGATGACTTTTCGGATGTGTAATTAAGTAGATTATGTGTTTATTTGTTTATACATAATTTAGAATCAGTAATATTTATGTATATCTATTTGACACTGATTAATTTTGTATTGTATAATAATTCTCATGTTAAATGTTGGTATTGTTTTACACATTCGAAATACATCTAATCAAATCAAAATCAAATCAAAAATTAAACTAATTTTTATTTTTTCCTACTTAGAACCTGAACTACCCGGAGCAGAAGGTGGTGACGGTGGGTCAGTTTAAGATCGGTCTCATTCACGGCCACCAGGTGATCCCATGGGGCGACATGGCCAGCCTGGCGTTGCTCCAGAGACAGCTGGACGTCGACATCCTCATCTCCGGCCACACACACAAGTTCGAGGCGTTCGAGAACGAAAACAAGTTCTACATCAACCCTGGTTCGGCCACAGGAGCCTACAGCCCACTGGAAAGGTAGAAGAGTCATTAACACGGATTAAAACCACCTCATAATGTCACCACATAAGCTAGGAGTGGCAACTTGTTATAATGAAATCTCTTGCTCAGTTGGGGAATCTAATCAGTACTTAAGTACAATTTATAGGTACTTGTACTTAACTTGAGTATTTCAACTTTATGCTACTTATATACTTACTGTATATTGCACTGAAATTCAGAGGTATATATTATTATTTTTTTCATTACAAACCAGTCAGTTGGATATATTTAATCACTTTTTAAAACAATCATTCAATCAACTTATAATAATAATAACCATAATAATAACAATACTACCACTACTACTAACATAAATAATAAAATACAATAATAATAATATAACTAGTTATATAATATAAATTATTCTGAAATTAACACTTATATGCCACAATTGGACTACCTCTACTTTTCCTTAACTTTGTAGGACTTTTTCTTCTAAGTATTTCTTCGTTGTGGTATTTCTACTTTTATTAAAATAAAAGATCAGAAAAAAAACAACTTCACAATTTTGACAGTACATTTTTTGGCACTGCTTTCTATAAAAATAAATAGATTTTCTAAAAAGACATATAGCTGCAGATGTTCATTACACTGATGATGTCCTCCAGTGTGACACAAAACAGGTGAAACTCTAGAAACCAGACTGACTATAATTACACGCAGTCAGCAAAAGCTTTGACCTTAAACACATCTTCCTCTCTCCTTACAGCAACATCATCCCCTCTTTTGTATTAATGGACATCCAGGCTTCTACAGTGGTGACGTACGTTTATCAGCTGATCGGCGATGACGTCAAGGTGGAGAGAATCGAGTATAAGAAATCTTAAAGGTGGAGGAAGAGGAGGCGTTGGGTTTAGCGTGGCTCAGTGTATCGTTTCATTCCTTTCCACCAGGGGGCAGCAGCTCCCCTGCAGTCACCACAATGTTAATGCTGTAACAAACTGTTCAGTAACTCTAAAAGAGGAATATGTATTATATTGTTTATACGTCATCAGCATTTGCTTGTATCCCAGCTGTCATTTGGTAACTGTAGAGAATGCAATAATATCACATGTATTTGTTATCAAAAGAAATATTCGGTGCCATTTTTATTTTATTTTCTTTTGTTTTGTCAATTTTTTCGCCCTTGTCATGTTGTCCTGTAACCAACAGGCCTTTAGCTTCATGTAGTCGGCCTTTATGTCAATCATTTATTTCCCACAATAAAGATCTAATTTCACTCCACCGGTTGTTTTGACTTTAATAATACTGAAAGAAATGTGAACAGGTAGTTTATTTTGTAAGTAAATCTTGCATAGACTGGCATGTCTTAATGTCTTAAAAATAAGCCATTACGCACTCTTTAAAATATTGAATGCCATTTCAAACCAGAGTATTAATATATAACATTAAGAGAAAAATCAAGAGTTATTTTTAAAATTGGCATTTATTTGTTTAAACAAGTATGACTGAACGTTATCATTAAAAAAGGTAGTGTTGAGATTGTTATAGCATATAAATGGAAAACCTATTGATTTGTGGCACACTTATTAAATAAAATACTGTTTAATCTTTGGTTTTGGGGGAAGGTATCAAACCTATTCAAGTCAAAAGGCTTAAAACTAAGTAAAGTGTTGAAGTCAAAATTAAAGGTAGGATAGGTAAGTGTGGAGAAACCAGCTCGAGTGCGCTAGAATTTGAAAGTACGCAGCCTCATAATCAATGAGGGCACGAGATAAGTTTGTGCACGAGATGGAAGGCTGACAGGCAGGTAGGCCATCCAGTTATTTTAGCCGGGCCGGCTCAGATGATTGGTCGTGCTTTTTACAGTACTACGGCTTCCACAGATTAATTTTTGTTATGTATTTATTGTCAAAGCATTTAATATATTCATTGCTATCGGGATGTTAAGAGCATTCCATGGAATATAACAAAAAGTGTTTCTAAAGTGAATTACCTACCCCACCTTTAACTTCAAGTTTTTATTTGACTAAATCATCAAATTCTGACTCTATACTAAATCATGTGACTCTAGTCGAACCCTCTAATAATAACAAGTGAATGCGTGACTGTCATCAGAGTATTATATTACATAATTAAAATGTTGTAATATATTGCATCACTAATTGTGGCAGAAGTGAAAGAGCAGAGGGGAAACCCAGAGGATGCATTTCGATTGTTATTATTCCTTGTTAAAATTGAGAGATGCACTCCCTTATTGTGCAACAGGTTTCCCAAAAGTCCCCAACTTTATTTTCAGCTCACAGCTACAAGAATGTGCACACCTCAACTTTTCATTACGACACTATGAGTAGTACTCTGCTAAAACACCCTCCAGTGTCTGTCTTTATACCATATTTAGAAACTTGGCTGCAGGGATTACACAAGATAATTATCAGCGTTGAACACTGATGTTTGATCATGTCTATACTAGTACCTAATGGTATAATAATTTCCTGACAACATGATCAAATGTGCACTTAACCTGATAACAAATCGAATAAAACCTAGAAATGTGATCAAATATCCTTTCACTGATCGTGTTGTATCTTTCACATTGGCTCTTTTGAGGTTGGTGTTCTTTTTTTGACGGATAATGTAATATTGTAGAAAAGTATGCTTGTTTTCAGAAAAATATTAAAGTATCCAGGAATAAAAACGTATAATACAGTTAGGGTCATGTTAGCAAACTGATTACAGAAACATTAGACATGGATTTCTGGGAAATGTAAAACTTTATGCAGAGTTTGACGTTCAAAACAGACGAAAACTGATGTGTTGTTATCAGGCAAAGATGGATTACTAAAATCCCTCTGCCTGCATTGAGCCCGTTCGCACCCTTGTTGATTGGTTGTTGTGCAAGAATCATCCAGTATAAACAGACTCGATCTTAGATGAGAAACCATCAGGAATTATAACATTATTGGGTTGTATTATCCAAGAAGGTGTTGTATCGGGTTAACAGTTAAATGCAGACCAAAGTCTTCCATTTATTTATGGAGCTGGCTTTGTGCAACATATCTAAATGGCTTCAGTCCAATGTAATTAAAAAAGAATCCTGTAAATGTTGCTGTTCGCTATAGATAATCCTAACATGTAAATGATTTACTTTCAAAGAGGTCAGTCAAGGTCAGGCCATGAGATGTGATCATGTGATCCTAATATTTCACAAATTCAAGAACTGATCACGTGATTTCCTGGAAACAGAGAACAAGTGTTCTCTCTGTGCCACTAGGGGGCCCCAAAGCACAAAACCACCCGGTGCAGGTTTTAGAGACAAATACTGAGCTACTCACAAAGTGTTACGATTCTGTATTTTACTTGTATAAAATCCCCAAGTTTTATGATGATTATTTATGATTAATCAGGAGTTCAGTTGACCTTTATGTGGGGCTATACGAATGTAAATATTACTCTTATATTTTGACACAAAATGTTATTGTGACAACTCAGACTTTCAATAGAAATGTCATAAATCTGAGAAGGTGTCATCCTTCCATAGAGAGTGAACTAAAACAGTCACTCAGGAAATCTTCTGGTCCTTCCTCCTCTTCCTCATCCAAAAGCCGGATCCTGGCCCCTGTAACAAAAACTAAAACATTTAACCAACTAAACAAATATGGTTTAATATACTTAAAATAATTATATCAATTTGATTAAACAATCACCAACATTTCTGGTACAACCATCCATTTTTTAAGTCCCATCTTCCTCTAATTATATGTAAAACATTATATTAAAGATATAACAAATAAAGAAATTCACACAGTGCATAAAAGTAATGCATGTGACATCATGCTAAGTCAAATGCACGAATAAGTAAAAAATATATGCATGTCAAATTGAAAAAGGTAAAACAGACGGTAAAATGAAATACTGTTTAATATAAAATTATTACAAATATAAAGCAGTGATTTAAAACAATAGTATGGAAGCCTGTTTGCGCCACAGGAAAATCTTTTTATCAATGGTAAGCTTAATAGAGGTAGGTGAGGTAAAGGACAGGTCTGACACGGCCACTTAAACAGCAGCACTGTCAACAGTACTTACACAATAGGTCTACTGTTCTCTCTATTTGTTGTACTGTTTCAGTGTGAACATAGATTAAACAGCCAGCCAAACTCTTTTGAGAGCTGGCTGGCAGCCATGCTCCTTTATTGACTTATTTGCAGTCCACTGACATTCAAACGGAGTGAAACTATAAACAAGGCACTTAATGATCTCATACATGCAAGTGTAACATACACAGATTACTTGTAGAATATGGTCATGGAGAATAAGGCATTCATAAGTGTTTTATAATGACAAATAAAGAGCCAATATACTGCTAATATGCATGTTAATTAACAACTAGTTGATGGTGAATTTGTGTACCTTAATATTGTACCGCTTATATGATGAACATTGATGTCTATTTGCCTTATTCTGTATTTGACATAATTGTTTCAACAAAAAAAAAAATATATAACTCAATATATTGAGATAGCTAAGTCAATATATTGAGATAGCTAAGTCAATATATTTTTTTCCTGTGGCGCAAACAGGCTTCCATACAATACCCCAATTTTGCTTCTACCAATGATGTAAAAAAAAAGAAGGTATATCATGAACATTTCTGTGACTTACTTCCTGGACTGTTTCTTCTCAGTTTGGGAGATTTAGTTTTATGTTTGTTCGTCTTTGTTGGTTTTGATGCTGATTTCTTGGAAAGCCTGCAGTGTTTATAAAACAGAGGAGTACATAGACATTCTGTATAATGTTAATTTAAGGACAAAAAAAGATGAGATATCTTCCACCTGAAAAATTGCAAAGAAACATAAAATAATTGCATCTCCTTTTTATGGAAAACGTGTACATATGTTCCTTTGAAATATGTTTCTGTGTGTGTACATATCTGTTGAAAGTGGGTGTCACCTGGATTTTTTGTTTGAGGTTTTTGGATGACAGGATCTCCCAGAATTCTTTGCACCACTTTTAATCTTCTTCCTGTGTTTCGCCCTCAACTGAACTTCTGGTGGATGTTTATCTCTCTTATCAGCCACAGAAGACTCAACAAGCTCCTCTCTTTCAGGGCTGCCGTCTAGAAACAGAGTCATGTGTGGACATAAAGAAGTGAAAGACTGAAAGAACAAATTACTGTTAGTCCTGTGTTAAAGGTTAATTTAAAGTGCATTACTAACAATGGAAATAATGCCAATACCAGCAACAAGTGAAATAAGGGAATTAAAACAAACATCAGTGTTTGACAAAACTCCTGATCATCAAAGCAAATACAGTATGTACAAATTAAATTAAAAATAATATACAATATATAACTATAATGTATGCGTGCATATGCTTACAGAAACTGTACAGGAATATAGAAGGAGGTACAAGAGGTAGTGTTGAATACAGAATAAATGTGATTCATGACTTCATTGGTAAATAAAGGAACTAAAACCACAAGAATATAGGAAGTGTGATGGTGTTTCTGGTCAAATAGGATGTGAGAGGTATACCTGCAAACCCACATAGTTGCTTTCTAGGCAACGGTGTAAGATGTTCTCTTATAGACATGTTGTCAAGAATAAAGACAAACCTTGTGGTTAGTGTTTCTCACCTGCTGGTATACACCTGTGCAGCACGTTCATGTAGTGCTGGGTGATGAGCTGACGGACGTGTGCCGCGCTGTGAGAAGCTGCCACGCTGCACAGATACTTCCTCTGAGCTGGAGACAGAGCTGCATGCTGAGCGGGAACAGAGGTCAGGTTTCACTGCAGGGATTCACTTTCTATTACTTCCTCCTGCTGAATTCTACTCTAACAACCCCCTACTATTTTAGGATGAATCATTGATGTGTCCTTTGTGGAAGTTCTCTAAAATTAGGTCCAAGGAGGTGGTTGAAGCAATCTCCAGATTCTTCACTCAAGTAAAAGTCCTGCATTCAAAACCTCACTTTATAGGCCTTATTATTCATTTTTGGCGTTCCCTTCCCTGTAGTGTGTTATGAAGGTTTTGGTGTGTATAAATGTTCTTCAATGGATAAAATCCCCTAATTTCTCACCCACACACCATTCCCCCCCCTGCCTGAAACGCCTCCATTGGACTCTTTTGTTTACCTCCGCAACACAATGACATCACTATCTAACACTTGCGCTTCTATTGGCTAGTGATCCAACACATTGTACATGATAGGCTAAGGGGCGGGACATCTCTAAGCGGTTGATCAATCACAACAGAGCCGGCCAGCTAACCAATCAGAGCAGACTGGGCTCTGGTTTCAGACAGAGGGTGAAAAGAGGTGCTGCAGCACAGGCAGTATGAGAAAAATAAAGAGCTTTTTGAACATTAAAGCATGGAGACATGTCGCATTAGAGGCACAACATAGACATATGGAGATACTTACAGATAGGGGAAGAAAATGTGTAATCTGAAAAGTAAAGCTGTCAGAAAAATGTAGTGGAGAAGATTAGATTAGATCTCAGTGATTGTTCGTTTTACCTTCAGATGTGGGCCGGCAGTTAATGATTTGGGGATTTTTATGGTTGTCACATGTTGGTGTTGTGAATCACATCTTGCAATCGCTGGTCTGTTGATTTTCAAACCATTGTTGAGGTTCACATTGGGATCTTTCAATGCTGGTACCATGCAGCAGAAATGTAAATAAAAGATATGGGTTACCAGTTAGCTATAAATGTCATAATGTCATGGTTGAGTTTCCACACATGAACCAACACCAATGACTTGTATGTGGGTTAAGTTTCTAGTAAGTAAAACAACGCGAGTGAGCTTTCCTCCTGTTACTGATCAGGTTTGAATTAGGTTGAGTTCAAGTGTAGGATTTCCTCTCTTTTTTCCACAGATCTCGCTGTGTCCCAGATAGAAAACATGACTCTCAGGTTTCAAAGCAGACAGGATGCCAGACATGTTTTGTTTATTTAACGGGGATATAGAGCATGCACATCTGAAATCTGAGCCATGTTGAGTCAACTAAGTAGAATAGAAAAAACGAAATATAAAGCTGAGACATTATATAGGTTTTCTATTATTTCTGCTTGTCATTTTTTGACTTGATTGATTTTCTGACTTTTTAAACCAACGTTTTGTAGGAATAACGTACCCATTTTTGATGCATCCATCCCAAAACTCCTGCAACAGAAAGACATTCTCCGTGACATTAAGAAAACACAAGGGGTTAAAGAAAAAATAGCATTTTTAGGCATACAATAGGATGAAATCATACATTTTACCTTTGTAAAGCCTCATCCTGTTGCAGCCTGTGGATCCTCTGACTTTCTGCAAATGATACTTGTTTTCTCATGTCGGAAAACAGAGTGAAGTGTCCTCTGAATAAGCAGCACTGGCAGCAGCAGCCAGGTAAAGAAATACATCCGTCCACGCTGAAGTCCAAATAAATAAAGCAAAGATGGTGTCTGTTCTCACTAAAAACCTTAAAGTCCAGAGTGGGTGTGTCTTTCAAATAAAGCTCCAGCTTTTGCAGTAAAATGTCCTGCATGCAATACTCAAAACGTACTTTTATTCAGAGTTTGCATGCATTACTGTCAAAGGGTGAGGTTGGGACTACGTTTACAGTCAATACTAATACATTAAAGATATCATTTATAAAGTTAAAGTTTGTTTCAATTGAATCGATGTTATATGTTTTAAAGAGGCCCTATAATGCTTTTTAGTGTCTCCTTTCCTGTAGTGTGTTATGGATGCAATATCTCTGCCTGACGTGAAGTCGATAGTCGGGGAATATTTCGCAATATATACACCGTTTGTTGGGTTTCTAGGGAATAACCAGCTATCCTTATCTCGGATAATGGATTTGCTCTGTGTGTGTGTGTGTGTGTGTGTGTGTGTGTGTGTGTGTGGTGTGTGTGTGTGTGTGTGTGTGTGTGTGTGTGTGTGTGTGTGTGTGTGCATGTGTGTGTGAGATAGTGGAAATAATCCCAGATAATTAATCTTTAACGGCTTTCTCTCAAGGGGGAATTTTGGGGAAATTGTATTTAGGCACACCCAAATGTGGAACTGTTACATTTCCAGTTTCATATTTTGTGATGCATAAATCCTTCTTGATGACTGAGTACCATTTATTGTGTTTGAATCATTTCATATACAAGATTAAACACAGAAGGACCAACCATATTTCCTATTTGCAGTGTGACTAAAGTGTGTTTGACAGATAACTCTCAAGTTTGTTCAAGTGTGTGACACACACACACACAGAGAGTATCCAGAGCTGTGGGCTTTCTTCACAGAGGAAGGTCACTGATTGCTCCTAATGCCCCGATCACAGCAACATCAACCTCCATCTTCATCTCCCACATTACATCCTCTCACACTGTTCTATTTCGTATATGGCTTCGCCCTCAAGGCTATCGCTATTGGGTAATCCCCTGCGCACTCGAGCAGCACTGAAACACTTGCAGTCCACGCCCACCTGCGAGGTGGGCCCCACCCTCGGGGTCACTTCCGGTATAAATAGGAAGGAGCAGTGGCGTTTTTATATGTACAAAAGTGGTGGGGCACAAAAAACTTAGATGTCTATATATAAGCTTATGCAGTGACGTGCAGTGAGGTTCATGGCTGCTGAGACACTGGCACTGACTCTTCAGGTTTACAAATATTATATTTTGACCTAAACCAAAATATAATATTATTTTCAAAAGCTTTTTTTGTCTGATGCTTCGATTAATTTTAAACAGACAGTTCAACAAAAGGATACCCAACAAATGTAATTTTATCATTTAAATATTGAATTGTTCTCTCTTAGTAAGATCCCATTTTCAATAAAATGGCGGTCTTACCTTGACTTGAAGATGAAGTCCATTTGCCTATCCTTCTGGACAAACATTTCTATTACTTTTTTGTAAAAGTCCTCCTTATGTTCTTGTAGTTTCAAAAGTCTATCATAAATCTAATCCATAGATTTATGATAAAAAAATTATAAAAGTAGGGTAGACATGTGGATGTTATCCGGCTAATCAAAACGTGCATTTATCTAACAGGTACGTTTCCCACAGATCTTATTTCGAGCTATTTTCTAAAATCCTATGGAGAAACCTCATTGCTTTTTTGCAGCTTACTTCCTGGTTTTAGGACGCGTCACTGCAGCTCTCTCGTCTCCTCTTCACACACCACACTTTTCGCGGCACACGTACTTACAGCCAATCAGCTCTGAATGATTTGAGAAGCCGTATGGTGGGGATGGTAGCTACGTGCCCCTCTGGTCATTATTTTTTGCCACACACATTTCATTACAAAATACTCTGAGCATGCGCAGTGAAGTTTTTACAGTCACCGTTGACTTCACAGCGAGAGGAAGGGGCATAATCAGGTTTTGTCCCACATGGCTCTAAACAGCTCAATAGGCACACACTGTGACTGTAGACACACTAATTAGAAGAACACAGACTAAAACAGCAATGTACAGACGAATCAGATGATTAAACATGATCTTAAAATATATTTTATATATTTTGAGGTACGCCTTCGGTACGCGTTCTTTGGTCTCAGGTGGGTGTGTAGCGGCCTTTAAAGGCCCTGACACACCAGGCCGAAATCGGCCGTCTTCGTTAGTCGGACAACGAAGCGGGCCCTGTCGCCCAAACTCAATTTGGTGTGTCCCAAACCGTCGGCCGTGACACGCCTTATTTGGCCTTTCATGGCCGACGCATGGCCGATTCAACATGTTGAATCGGCCATGCGTCGGCAACAGGCAGTCGGACAAAGAAACCACTCTGATTGGCTGTTCAGCTAGCGAATGAGAAGCGAAACGGAAGTGAGGGACGTAAACAAACGATTTTAGAAGGCACAACACAGACGGCTATTCATTTTCATCTCATCGGTTTATTTGTCAGTATAAAGTTGCAGGATTAGTCTCAAGTACTAAGTAAATGAGATACTGTCTACTGCTGTTCATTTACCTATTGTGAGTCGCCTCGAATAAAAGCATCACATGGAAATGTAAATTTAGCAAGAAGTGGCCATTATTACATTACATACATTACTACATTGCTGACTCAATAAACTACACACCCGCCAGAACACTGCGATCATCAGATGCAGGTCTATTAACTGTGATTTTATAGTATGTCTGCACTTTATGTGCTCATTTCATCATTCATGTATTTTATATTCTACTAAAACTGAATCAAACCATAAACAATGTGGCCTGTTGGGATTACTATATATATATATATATATATATATATATATATATATATATATATATATATATATATATATATAATATATCTGCATTATTTTATCCCACTTTATGCTTTGCTCTTGCTGCTTGTTTTACACTGATTTTATGTCTTATTTCTTACTGGTGTAAAGCACTTTGAACTGCAATCCCCTGTATGAAAGGTGCTATACAAATAAAGTTATTATTATTATTATTCAGATGGATGTTTCTGCCCCTCTGTTCATTCTCCCATTATCCTCCTCAATCTGCCTAGAAGTATTTTAATGTTGTAGCTGTTACTATAACCAATACTAATTCTAGGGCTGCAACTGACAGTTATGTAGGCACATTGTTATTGTTTCTTATCGCTGTGTGATTAAAAGAATAAACACAAATAGCAGGATAGGCAATGCAAAACTTTATTTAGTACCTTCATACACACATAACACAACATTAGAATGAGCTTTTATCAACGCCTACATGATGATAACCTGTCAACATGACAGGAAAATCCACATGACATTAATACAGAGCGGGCAGAACCCAAATCTGCATTCAAAGAATACACTTTACCAAAGCTTGAGGAAAATATCTGAAATCTGGCATTTAACTCTAGCTCTCGACACAGGTTCGGGAAAGCCCCATGAGCTTCTCGCTGTAGTATCCATGATTTCACCCATTTAGTGCGGTTTCTCCTAATTCTTCGCTTCCGCCTCTTGAGAGACTGTTGCTTGAGAATGTCTTCCACAAGCAACACTCCAATGGCTTATAGCTCCAGTACCGCACGAAACATGTTTTCGATGGACGACAGTGAAAATGGAACGCACACGATATTTGTTGTTTGTTTATATCACGCGGTCTGTTCTTCTTCTCTGTCTTCCGGTTGTTGCCTATTTTGAATGACGAATACACACTACCGCCGCCTGCTGGTAAGGCTGAAGTCTTTGCGGTGTGTTCCAGTGCGACACATGGCCAAGACGCAGGAGAACACGGCGACGCAACAGTCGGCGTCGGTGTCGGCGAGTTCTCTGGTGACTGCCTGGTGTGTCAGGGCCTTTAAGGCCGCTACACACCCACCTGAGACCAAAGAAAGCGTACCGAAGGCGTCCCGACTTTTACGTCAGCTTCGTCGCCTGCGTCGGCTACGTTGCCCGCTACACCGCCCGCTACACCGCCCGCCTACGAACACACCGCAAATACGACGAGTGGCAATAACTGTCCTTACCAGCAGGCAGCGGTAGTGTGAACAGCCAATCAGAGTGATTGCTTGGGCCGACTTTCTCTGACCTCCCGCGGCCGATTCAACATGGCGTCGGGAGGTGTGAAAAGGTGCCGTAAAGAGACGACGGTGCGGGACACACAAACCTGAGTAGGGCGCCGCGAATGCCCGACTGCCTCTGACAGCCTCTGACGGCCTCTGACTCCCAAAATCGGGCTGGTGTGTCTGGGCCTTTAGAGTTTGCTCCTCATGCCAGACGAATCCTGCCTGGGGTCGGAGCACGCGCACGCAGCTCTCGCCCAGCAGGTGTCATGTGCTCATTGTCATTGTGCCCGTCTCCCTCTGGCCGACAGAGTGAGTGATGTCAGGGATCCAGCTGTGCGCTCTCCTGCCTGTCTGCACGCAGAGAGCTGCCCTTGTTCCCCCTTTTTTTGTCGCTGGGCAAAGTGTGACCTTCGTCTCCACTTTTTCACAGCGGCAGGGTTGTATTGTTCCCAGCCTTTGTCCCCTCATGGAAAATATTCATGTTATGCTATATTCCAGGGACTGTGATGCGCCATTCGCATGGCGCAATAGGCATGGCGCAATAGGCATGGGTTATTATCTGAGCAGGTGTGTCTGTGCTTCTAGTACCGGGCGGACCCAGTGGGGCGCAGACTACATCTTGCTTCACCCTTAACCCAATAGCGATAGCCTTAGAGGGCGAAGCCATATACGAAATAGAACTGAAGTTACCTACTGTAACTCCAGCTATGAGGCGTAGACCTCTAAGTTCTGGGCCCCACTGGCTCCACGAATAGCTGAAGCAAAGTTGTTTTGTGTGGGAGCAGATTGTCGGGCCTCCTTCCTATTTATACCGGAAGTGAGCCCGAGGGTGGGGCCCACCTCGCGAGTGGGCGTGAACTACAAGTGTTTCAGTGCTGCGTAGGTGCGCAGGGGATTACCCAATAGCGATAGCCTTAGAGGGCTACGCCTATACTCATAGAAGCTGGAGTTACAGTAGGTAACTTCAGTTACGTGCCGCAGTGGGTGCTTGTGTGTGTATGCTTTTGTGTGTGTGTTTCTCTCTCTCTCCCTGATTGTCTCCAGGTGCAGCCTCTCCCCCAGGTGCTCCCAATCCCCAATCAGGGCCTCCTTAAAGGACATGAGGAAGGCTGCAGTGGCCTCTCCCTCTCCTCTGGCTGCATGTGTGCAGCATGTCTCTTTCTCTGTCTCTGTCTCTGAGGCCTGTGTTTTTGTGAATTGTTAGGAGATGTGCTCCAGTTTATCTTTGTGTGTGTTGTACTATTTAGTCACTTTCTTTTAACAGAAAGTTGTTCTTAGTTACTTAAGTTTGTTTTGCAAATTGGCTGGTGAGCCTCTTTACTTTTTTATTAATTAAAACCTCACTTTGTGGATTCAGCAGTCAGTTTCCTCCCCTTTTTCTCTCGCCCGGTTGTTTTTGTGTTTTGTTACTTCCCTTTGTACCCCTAGTTTAGGAGGGAACGTAACACACACACACACCATCGTCTGCGTTTTTCAGAGAATAAATTAACCTTAACAGGAGGCGCTTTTTAACTCTTGTCATGTGTTGCTTCCATATTGCAGCATAAAAACGCAGTTACAAGGAAGCACGAGGCAAAGAAACATGCATTACCTAAGAAATTAACAAGTTATCAGTCACTCTTGTGTTTGATTAAGATGTGTTTACCGGATGTGAAGCAGAGGGCAAAAAGTTATAGATAAAATGTTGCTTGAAATGAACTTTCACACACACACACCTGAGGAGGAACGTGATTCACTTCAAGTCACAGCGCGGAGGCACAACCTGTGCAAACGTATTGAAACTGGAGATGAATAAATTCAAGGCATTCGTTGTGAAGAAAAAACGGAGAGAAAGCACGCAGCCTTTAATAGAGAATAACAACGTCATACAAGATGGTAAGACTCTTTTTGGATCATGAGTTTGCACAAGTGATCTTCTTTTATATGTAGACTATAAATAACATCTTCTACTGTTGTCTGTCTTGGTAGTATATTTGTTTTGCTACAGCTTGAAAAAAAGGCCATGTTGATTTAATATTATTTTAAGAAATATTTTCTTATGTGTGACAACTGAGAACTGAGTTATGAAAAGTGTTGCATGCTTAATCTTAAGTACAAGTACAAGCAACAAATACTTAAAGTGTACTTATTGGCATATAAATAGGGGTCTTCAATTAAAGGTGGAGCTCTTTTTCCTTTTAGCTGGGTAACTTAATTTAACATACATCATGATCAAAATCTGAATGTTTAAAGTAACTAAAGCGATAAAAACAATTATTGTAAAAATTGGAGTCAAAATGCACTTAAGTACAAAGTAGCACAAAATGGAAACATTCAAGTACAGTAACTCAAATTGGCTTTTTCACTAGAGTAATTAAGTAAATAAACAAATAAATCGGTACCACTTTACAATAAGACTACCCTTATAAAGGATTCATAAAGGGTTTATAATTAGGTTATGAATTAGGTTGTAAACACTTTATTAATCATTAAGAACCATTTATAAACCAGTTCTAACATAGTTTTCATACAACAACACAGGCTCACTATTTGGCAAGATGACTAAGCCTTATATTGGCTACTTAGTGAGAATCAACTCAGTGAGCTACAGATACCAAGGATGCTGGCTGATGAAGAGGACGAAGTAAGCTAGGTAGCCACTAAGGCTTAGCAGTACAGATGAATGTGGGCTCACTATTTGGCAAGCAACCGGTCACAGTTGCCCTGTGTATCTCATGTCTTATAAAAGCTTATTAATGATTTATAAAGTGTTCACAAACTTATTAATAAATGAATTACAAACTATTCGTAAACCCTTTATAAGGGTAGTCTTATTGTAAAGTGGTACCAATAAATCTATATTTAAGTGTGTTTAGATTTTTTTTTAAAAAGGATATACAAACAGTAAAAACGGTTAACAGCAGTGTATAAGTGGAGGCAAATCAAAGTGTTGGAGCAGTTTCATGGAAGACTGTAATATCAGGGTTTAAATCAGAGTTTATCAAACTGCTGCTGCCATTGGTGTAAATATCAGGCTGGCTGGAACTCCCCTTTAAACCTAGACAAATACGTGACGTTAGTTACGCTTGTGTCATGGCCTGGCTCTTGGCCATAACAACAAGCGTGGAAAGGACAAGAATATATAGGAAAATATATTTATTTAACAATAACTCAACGTAACCAAAACCTAACAAAAAGGCAAGGCAAAAGTATAAGCGACGTGGCTGCTCTCCCAGAACAGGTCCTCTGCGGGGAGAGAGATCGAGACTCTGGCTCAGGCCTTTCAATCCTCCGGTGCCAGCAGCCAGGTGTCCTCAATCAGCGCTGACACAAACAGAGGGAGAACATTAAAGGGCCATCCACACAACACAGGAGACAGTAAAGCAGGGGTCGTCACACTTGAGGAGAGTCACACATAGAGAGTTGTTGCAGCAGGTTGACGTCTAACTCACACATGGATACTTCTATATCTATATTTAGATACATCTAACCTGTTATTCTGCTTGGATGTTTTATTAGTAATTGCTAATAAATGCTGAGCAGCTATCTCAGACTATTTTGCAGGTATTGTAAACAAAATAACTTGAGGTGAATTGTTGACCTGATTATGGAGCTAGATGGGCAATCAGAGAAAGATTTACAATTTACATTTAAGGGCAGTGTCTGCAGTAGAATATATTTATAACAGAAAATATACAATAAACTTTACAATAAACAATAAAGGGGCCCTATTATACCTTTTGGGGGTTTCCCTTTCCTGGAGTTTGTTATAGGTTTTTGTGCATGTAAATGGTCTGCAAAGGCTAAAATCCCTGTGTTCCCTCCAGAGGGAGTTTCTCTCCCACAACTACATCACTGAACTATTTCATCAACCAAATCTCACAATAAAGCCTTTTTTGTGATATTTAAACAAATGTAATATTTCCTCACTTCTATTCACCAAGCCTCCTCTGAAACAGTTTTAAAAAACTCTCATTTACAGTGTTTTGACCTACATTTCAATCTTTTTTCACAGGATTTAAACAGGCACCATGTACCGAGTATGAAAACCATTTGGTTCAGAATACCTTGAACATCCACAAAGAACAACGCCTGCAGAGTGAGGAACAGATCACACCTGAGAAACTCGCTGGACTTCTTCAGGTGCCGCTTGAGGATGGATCTTGTTGCTCAACACACCGTCAGCTCAATGCAGAGCAGCAGCATCTCTGCCTCGTACAAAGATCTGTGGACCAACACTTCCCAAAGCTGCCTCCAGATGTGGACCAGAACCTCCATCAGTACCTGGAGAACGTGCAGAAGATGGTTATTACCGAGTTTGTGAGGCTCGGCCCCCCTTTGACACGTATGGGGCTGATGGGAAGTCTGATTGATTGCTACCATCGTGAGACATTTACTCGCCTCGATGATCTGCTGCAGAACGTCCGATCCTCCAAGAACTCCTTTGGGTTGATGAAATGGGTCCTACATACGTATCTGAGGTATCTTTCTCTACATTTTAAGCCTTTGGATATCTATTTGTTTTGTGGCAATGAGATGGACCCATCCTTGCAAATTGAAGAGACCCTTGATGAAAAAACAATCTTTCCGAAATGTTTGACTTAAATCACAGAATATTTCATCTGGTACATTTGTGATTTTTTTCTTGTTAATTACCCTTTCCAGTCTCAGAACATTTTCAGAATATAACTTCAATTCCCTGGCTCTTTTAAACCTATCCTATCAAGACCCTGAAACATTATGAATACCTCAACTTGAATGCGTACCGGGCCTTTACTTGAGGGCTTATAGAGACAAGCCTTCAATTGAACAAATATTTTTTTTAACCTAACCAAATACATTTGATGCTTAAACCCATAGACACTGATCCACGTGTTCATGACATTGACCACATGCCATGATTAATGTCTGTTTTGATCCAAATGCATCGCATAAGCAACCCTACCCTTAATGACCCTTAATGAAATGCAAGGTCAGAGACACTTTGCAGATTTTAAGAATTGTTCTCGTATTTCTTTTCTTAAGTACCCTAAAAATATTTTCTGAATCATAGATGAATTGATACTGAAATTAAATATTTGTGTGCTCAGTTCTGATGTCATTGTTTTACTTTCCCAGCCCGGAGATGCTCTGTCATCCTGAACTTCAAGAATTGGATCCCATTAAAAAGGTCGACCTCCTGCTGTTCACCGACTTGGTGGGACAAGCAAAGGACAAACTGCTTGAAAATGTGGAGGTAAGAATACTTAATGATGTAAATGTCCATGTTTGGCTATAGTTTGTTCCCAAATGCAGTTAAAAAGACTGAGGCAGGTATAAACAAAAACTGAGCTTTTAAATAAAGGAAGCTGATAACAAAAACAAACAGGGGGCCTCGGCAAGGTCAAACAAAACTATACAAAACAAAGAAAACTGAACGAGTAGATACCAGAGAGGCACGAGGAACAAGGATAACACAGGGAAATCAGGCAGGACTGAAAGAAGGAAGACGGGAACAAAGCCGCGTTCACACCGGAGTACTTTTCCCACAATAGTTCATCAGAACTACGATATATTTGCGTTCACACCAAAAAGCCCCAGGAACTAAAGTAGTTCAAATTAGTTCATCTGACCCACTTTTCAGTCCCTGCAAGAGAGCAGGGACTGTTGTGGGAGAAAATAGTTAATACGTCTGATTGGCTGTGCTGAATGCAAACAACGCCCTGTGAATCTCTAGAATCTTTTTTGAAGGCCGCCATTGTATTTGCTCGCATTAAGCTCAGCACAGCGCACCAACGAGTGGATTACTTTTGTGAAAGCAGTTATTATAGCAACACTAAATAAATCATCGGAGCGGTGGAGTGATGAGGATGTGTCGGCGCTTCTGGCGATTTACTCGGAGGATGCGACGCGCCGCACTCAGAAGCTTCTACTGAATGCAGTTTCCGTGGCTCAGCAAAGTTAGCAGACAATCTAACAATCATACATAGACAGGAAGTAAATCAAGACAAGACAGGAGAAAATACATTTCAAATTAAAACCGTAAACAAAACCAGGATCATGACAGCAAATGTATGAATTATGCATTCATTTCTCAGTTACTCAGTGTCACTACAACCACACTGCTGAACACTTCTGATGTGTATTCTGTCATCCTATTGTTGCACAGAACGAGGTCAAAGTGTTCCTGGAGAAAATCCTGCAGAATGAGAGAGACAAAGAAACGGTCAAAGATGACCTGTATGTGGACACTATCCAGGTACAAAGTCTATGGTTACTATGAGAGTTATAGAAAAGACTAGTGTGCATATATGTGTCTATTAATAAAGTATATCTTCCTATATACTCTCTTTTTCAGTACATTATTTGAAATATCTATCTAGTTGTAACTATAAAATGTGATAATTATATTGTGAATTGCATTATTTATTTTTAATTTGATTTCCAATGTATCTGTTGAAAAATATTGTTGTTTCTCTTTCAGTGCATTGATGCCATGATCGAGGCGGGGCGACAAATCAGCCAAAAACTGTCTGGCCGCGTGCAGGATGTCTGTTTCCAAGAGCTGCTGAATTTTCTGACACAGTGAGAATAATTTACTGATTTATTTACACATATTAACACCAGTACCTAAAGCATGAATAATAACAATTGCTTTTTATTTGCTTTGTAGGTACACCAATGAGCAGACTGAGATTTTTGAAAAAAAAGCAAAAGTGGACAAACCAGAAATCAAAGATGTCCTCAAGATTTTGAAGAACTGCAAAAAAATCAAGTAAGAGGGGACCTATTCTGCTCACTTTTAGGTTTCATAATTTTGTGACATGTCTCCATGCTTTAATATTCAAAAAGCTCTTTATTTCTCTCATACTGCCTGTGCTGCAGCACCTCTTTTCACCCTTTGTCTGAAACCAGAGCCCAGTCTGCTCTGATTGGTTAGCTGGTCAGCTTTTTTGTGATTGGTCAACCGCTTAGAGATGTCACGTACAATGTGTTGAAGTGCTATCCAATAGAAGCGCGAGTGTTACATAGTGATGTCACTATTTCCAGAAAGTCTATTTCCTTTTTTCCTCTGATTTTTCCTCTCAGGCAGTACATCCAGACAAAGGAGATCAAAACATCCCTTCTCAAAGAAACCCTGGCTGTACTTGACAACATGGAGACTTTTACTCTGAAAGTCCTGAAGGAAATCACAGCTGACATGACAGAGGTAGCTATTCAACTTAATCATTAATATAATGTTTTCTTACACGTTTAAAAGTGGATTATGATTTATGCATATATCGAACTAATGTTTATATTTTTCTTAAATCACAGAAGTACCTAAAGAAATACTTCAAATCGGAGAACAAGGAGTTTCTCCTCTTGATCCTGGACTTGAAGCATCTTTTCTCAGAGCTGCAGGGCTTCCAGGGCGTCCAAATGGTACGTCTTGAATCCCCCCATTCAAATATTTATTGTTGAATTTGCATTGACAATGACAAAAGCTTCCTATTTCCTCAAGAGTGTTTGTTTTTAATTAAAGAAGATGTCTTTCTTCAACAGTTATTTATCATTTCTGCCTAATTTAAAGGGGACCTATCATGCAAAATGCACTTTTGTACGTCTTTTATACATGAATATGTGTCCCCGGTGTTCCAGGGAACTAACCAAGTGTCAGAAAACACAACCCTCTATTTTCCTCCATACCCAAATCTCTAAAAACGGGGCTGCAACGGATCTGATACAGACTGATCCAGATTTGAACACTGTCCTGACGTCAGGACGGTGGCGCTATGGCTATTGGGCCAACTCTCCACCTATCAGGGGAATGTGGGGTTGGGCCACGGCCGGCCATTGCCGCTCGAAAGCGCTGGAGACGCTGTAGTACATATGCCAGGCCTGTAAGTGGCGCTGTAGTCTGCCACAAAAGCAGCGAAGAAGACTTCCCGCCCATAGTTACCATGGTTACCCTTCTGTTTATTCTCCGCTGTGGCTTTTTCTTCTCCCTCCCCGAGGCAAGCGTTTGCTCCCGCTGCTTTAATTCAATGCAACCCCTCCCCGTCGAGGCAAGCGCTGTAATTCTCTCCGGTTAGTCCACCAGCAGATGACAAACACCCACCTCTCCGCCTCTTCCAAGGAACGAGGGGACCGTGCGGCAGAGTTTTAGTTAGGTTTTTTTTCGCCGGTCAAGATGTCCGTTAAAGTTTAAATCTTCCGGACAAAATTAGAAAAGTGCCGGTCAAAGGTCTTCTTTGTTATTTATTGAGCTTTAAAACAAATGAATAACGACTCTATATAATAATATAATAAAACACGGAAGACGGAGATCTATTTTTCTCCCCCCTCTTCTGACAGCCCAGCAGCTGATCAGAGCACGCTCCCCTCTCCTGCAGGGGGGCGTGGTCAGCTGCAGCTCACAGAATCAGCCCCCTGCAAAAACAGTGCTGGAAAGAGCAAGTGGAGCGAAATGAGGCATGGCTAAAATGCAGGATCTGTTTGATATTTTGAAAAAAAAACTACATTTATATACTTTATATAGGTATGGCCCTACAATATATTGTTTAAATATAGCATGATAGGTGTCCTTTAAAGGTGCTACGTCCATTATGTGAAATATCAATATTTAGCTCATTTTTTCCCATTTCTCTTTTCTGCATTTAGTTAAAGTACTTGTGTATAATGCACAACCCTTGATATAATACCAATTAAGATTTTGGCATAAGTCTTCACTTTGGATTTAAATAGAGATATTTGCTGCTTTGAAGTTATGCAGGCTTTTGTTTCCTCATATGTGTATCTTAATGCTTTTGTTCGTCTTTGTGTTTCTCAGAGAGTGGTGCACGAGGCCTACAAGCTCGTCACCTACCTTTACCTCAAGCATTTTATCCAGAGAAGTAAGAACAAACTGTTGAGGTGCTGGAGTCCTGATGTTGGCCGAACTTTCAATCAAGATGCTGAAATGCTCCAGGAAACCTTTTCAATGATGGTAAGTGCTCTTTTCTGTCATAATGAAGTTCATTCACCAGCAGCAGGGTCACATCTGCTCTGGTTACCGCGTAGAGCCTGACCTGTGATGTTTTGTTTTAGGCTCCTGGTGTGGAACAGTGGCACCTCATGCTGCTCAGTGTCAGAGAACTGGACGAGTGTGAAAGCTTCGATGCTGTGAAGCTCACAGTGGCTTGGATGCATGACGAATATCACACGTGGAGGTAAATCTTTTAAATGTTTTTACACCTATCTTTCTTAATGCTGTCCAATAATGTGGCTTTTGAATTTGTTCTGAAATGGACCATCCATGAGTACTTTGGTATTTAAAAAATATATATTTGATGCTAAAAAAACGATTTTAATTCACAGCGAGTTCATGGAGATCCTGCCCGCCCTGCTGCGATGGAAAGGCCTTTCTAAACGGAAGATTATGGAGCTGGAGGACATCCAGAAGGATCTCCCCAACTATCAACCCAGAGCAGGATCTGTTTCCTGGTTCTTGTGTTTTAATTGGTGAAGGATGCGCTGCTCTACAAGAGGATCGACTGAAACAAGCAAAGATGACAGAGCTGAGTGTTCAAAAACGTTCCTGGACACTCCGTATAGTTGTCGCTTCTCGAAACATGTCACAGAAGGTTTTTAAAACCTAGTAGACATAAGGGGTTTACTCGGTGACCTTTCAAATTTTGCTGTAACATACAGGAAACCACGTTTTTAAAAATCTTGTTTCCTCAAAGTTTGCATTTTTTCAAACTGATCAAATCCACAATGTATCTCAATGCAAAAAACCCTGACCCTGTCCACAGGGGGCACCTAAATCACTACAAAATGAACCCTCTTTGTCGCTGCTTTAAAACTGAAGGGTTTATAGATTGTTATTATCGTTAAGCTCTGATAATGAAACTAAAAGAACAATAATTTAAAGGCAGTAGAGAACATTTTCTTGTTAAGTTACAAATATGACATCCGGACGTTTAGTTTCAAACCTTTAAATGTCGAATAAAAAAACGTTAGTCTATGTCCTTTTATTTCCATAAACCTAATGTCAAAGAAATTAAACTGCAGAAAAAAATATGCTGCCTCTCCGTCATCATGTTTAATTATTATTTATTAAATATTTAATTATTTATTTATATGAACATATTTACATTTAACAGAAACTAGAATCAATCATACAGTATAAAACGTTATTGTGAAAAATGTATTTTGCTTTAGCTACTCAAACCATTCTGATTTACACTTGAACTGTCAAATTTATTCTCAAACTTTTTGCTACTATTTTCTTTTTAATGCTTTTACAATCAGGGTACAGATGTTGGTTACTCTTATTTCTGCCTGCTACAAGTTTTAATAATGCATTCCACTTAACTATTTTTGTGTGAGTTGTACAATATTGTTTTGTTTTATTTTATTCCCTCTTTATTCCTGTATCTTATTTTCAGCTTCAATGTGAGTTGAATTGTCGCACTACAATCTTATGTACTGTAATCTTGTGGTGATGTTTTTGTTTAGAAGCTTATAGTTTGGGTTACAGGGACAATCAAACAATGTTTAATAAATAAAATACAAATCGAATCAAATGATTTAATAAAAGTCTTATTTGTATTGATTTGTGTAACGGTACCGGACGATTTTTGTGGGTATTTTTGCTGTAGAAAAAAGTCTAAGAAAAAATTGAATAAAAGGAAAATATGTTGGTTGTCTGTTCATTATATCATCACTAGATGGAGGCTAACATCAATGTACAAAAATGTGACTTCATGAGAAATTGTTCTGGGGCGGGACCCTTCAATGGGTCAAAAGATAAATGTGAGGGGTCATATGATTTATAGAGAAACAGGCATGAATCTTTTTGTTCCATTTGACTCTTTATGTCTAAAATAAATGTCTTACAGTGCTCAAAACTCTTGGCCATTACCTGCACCCTCAAATATACAAGACCAATGATTTTATTGGCTATATTGTTTTTTATATTATAATTTTTTAGGCCAAATACAATGATTGGACCAACTTTTTAAAGTCCTGCGACAGCCTTAGAAACCAAATCGTTTTCCCTTTTGTCAGAGCATTTGCTTTATTGATCGATGTAGGGATCTAATGAGTATTTAAATACATGAATGTTTTCTAAAATAAAATGTCCACTTGCGCTTCTATTGGCTAGCGCTCCAACCCATTGTGCGTCATAGGCTAAGGGGCGGGACATCTCTAAGCGGTTGACCAATCACCACAGAGCCGGCCAGCTAACCAATCAGAGCAGACTGTGGGATCTGGTTTCAGACAGAGGGTGAAAAAAGGTGCTGCAGCACAGGCATGAGAAAAATAAAGAGCTTTTGAACATTAAAGCATGGAGACATGTCGCATTAGAGGCACAACATAGACATATGGAGATACTTACAGATAGGGGAAGAAAATGTGTAATCTGAAAAGTAAAGCTGTCAGAAAAATGTAGTGGAGAAGATTAGATTAGATCTCAGTGATTGTTCGTTTTACCTTCAGATGTGGGCCGGCAGATAATGATTTAAGGATTTTTATGGTCGTCACATGTTGGTGTTGTGAATCACATCTTGCAGTCGCTGGTCTGTTGATTTTCAAACCATTGTCGAGGTTCACATTGGGATCTTTTAATGCTGGTACCATGAAGCAGAAATGTAAATAAAAGATATGGGTTACCTGAGTTCACAGTTAGCTATAAATGTCATAATGTCATGGTTGAGTTTCCACACATGAACCAACACCAATGACTTGTATGTGGGTTAAGTTTCTAGTAAATAAAACAACGTGAGTGAGCTTTCCTCCTGTTACTGATCAGGTGTGTATATTGTGCCACAGTGACACGTCCTAAAACCCGGAAGTAAGCTTCTGCCGGTTCCCTCGACAAAAAAGCAATGCAATTTCTCCATAGGATTTTGGAAAATAGCTTGAAATAAGGTCTGTGGTTGACACACATTTAAGAGACAGATCACGTTTTGTTCAGTCGGATAATCTCCACGTCTACCCTACTTTTATGATTTTCGAATCATAAATCTATCAATCATAAATCTATCGATTAGATTTATGATTCGAAAATTATAAAAGTAGGGTAGACATGTGGTAGACCACTGGGCGCTGTCTCCTGATCCCCTGCAAAAAACGCTTCATAAGCGGTTGGCTAAAGACTGGTCTGCCGCCAAATCCCTCATGACAGGACGAGATGGCTGCTGCCTACACCTTGACTGTGGCATGAGCAAGCTCCTTGTCGACCAGTAGCTGTAGATAGGATAGAAT